CAGCATGGACTGAGCTGGAAACTCAGTAAAACCTGACTTGCAAATTGGCAAATAAACCCCCCCAAAAAAGGAAAATGAAATTCAATGCTTTTAGTTCTCTGTGATTCTTTTGCCAACACTTCTGCTTTTTCAATAAGAGTTTAAAAATGCTCTTCTGCTGCTGCCGCTCTGTAGAACAGGGTTTGCCCCTGCATGACAAAGGAAATCAAAGGTCAGACCTGCAAACGCTTGTGCACATTAGTAACACTACTACTGCTGGTAAACGAGACAGCCAGCAGTCCGTGCAAACATTGCACAAGTCATCTGGTCCCTAAAAACATTTGAAAGGTAAGTTCCGCTGCTCGTTGACTTGATCTGTCACTTAAACCCAAGGTTTCTTGTATCTCTCTGTTCTGATTCCAAAATCATCCCTATACCTACCTATGAATATTTCTACCAGTGAATCAATGTGGTAGAACAAACAGTAAGCAGAGAATGGACGCGCACATGATCAAGTGATCAAAAATGCAACATTAATTCACATCTAATAAATTCTTCTATGGGCCTAATTTCTCTGGAAGGTTTACTGGCTGTAGCATATGTCCTTAGATAACTTCTCCAAGAATATTCAGCTTTTCAGTGCTGTTAGGTAGGTGCTGAGTTGTACTAACAGCTCAACGCTGATGATAACAGACCTTACATATCCTTTATGCCATGGGGATGCTACAGGATAAGATTAACACTTTGAAATGTTCTAAGATGGTAGGATGAAGATGCTGTCACAGAGCAGCAATGGTTTGGATTCTCTCTTAACCTGTGTAACCAGAAATTCATTAGTGCTTTGACCTTTTCCTGTGTCACTAGATAACAGCCACCATAAAGTGCCAGCACTGAATCGTTCAGGCTTATTAGTCCTTTAACAAAAACAAAAAAATAGTTGCATATTTCTAATATGCTGGTAGTTGACTCTACCTGTGGAGGCCCCGAGCAGGCTGAGGAATTTCGATGTTCCTGTAACAAGGCAGACGGGCTCTGCGGGTGCCCCTAGTGACAGGCCTTTGCACTGCACACTTCGAGTCTTCTCTGGAAGCTGGATGGACCACAGAGTGCTGCCATTCATGCCAGAAAGGGCCACCACAGTTACGGAGGGCCTAGAGACACCTGGAAGAGGCAGGAAAGAGAGAGCAAAATCCCTTGGCATTAGAGGCTATGTCCATGCTGCCTTGGGTCTTTCCGCATGAGTTCCAGCTCTAGCTTCTGGACCTGAGCAGCTCAAGCCAGCCACATCCACACTGCCTGAAAGTGAAGGTCAAATCCCACCCCAAGGCTGAGTGTCTCTGCCTGCACAGTCTAGCAGTGACCTCCAAGACAAGCTGGGCTGTCAGCCAACAGCACAGACAAACATGGAGGTTGGACCTGAGCTCACGGCAACAAATGTGGTCAGCTGGGCACAGAGGAACCAAGATTCTGGGGACAACCTGCTCAGTTGTGCTGACTTGCTGGTGTGAAACATACTGCTGTCAACCAGACTGATCCTTCCGATTCCTCTCTCCCTCAAGACACTGAACGGAAGACTTAAGTGATTCCCAAGACAGATACCACCTCATGTGAAAGTCCTAGGTTGTCTGTAATTCTGGGGCAGCAGCAGGTGACTGGCAATCTGAGAGCTTTTTACTTTGTTTTCCAAATGAGTTTTATTGTTGTGAAAAACAAACTGATCGAAACCCTATTGGTGTAACTCAGGGGTCCTTTCCTAATTCATCTATTCCACATTCATCATCTTACAAAATAATTGTAAGAAAAGGTGCTCTATGGTGTTTCAATTGACTATTGGCTCTCATTCCAATTCTGAGTAACTTTTAGTAGTTCAGCCTGTCTTAGACATAATTGTGGTTACTGTAATCTCCACCTGATATGCTCATATCACAATTTAAGAGGGACTCCTACAAATTTCAAGATAACAACAGCCCCAGTTGACTCCCGTCTTACTGGCAAAACAACAAGTGACCTGATTACATGAAGGGTGTATTTGGGCCACTGACTAAAAGCAAGTCTGAGCCCACCCTCTACATCAAACTCATCCTTTCTCAAACTGAAAATCATCTGGCTTATGCTAAGCAATTGCCCCAGCCCAAGTTCTCTTCATTGGCTTGGCAAGGACCAAGTGCAGATAACTCTTGAATGCAGCTCATAGCTGTTGTTTGTACAAGCTGGAGAAACAGCTAATGTCATCATAGCTTATTCCAGCAGGTACCTATCCCAAGCTTCTCTCTACTGGACACGGTGTGAATGCTCTGAGCACAAGCTACAGGAGGGATGATGTCCAGCTATGTGAGTTTAGGATTGTGACATGCTTACACCTGCTTTAGTGCCTGCTTTTTGTCTTCCAGCATAGCTATAGCCCAGGGTGCAGCTAGGTATGATTAGTTCCATTCAGAGCATGCTGAGAACTGTACATGTGTCTGCAATGAAAGATAAATACAATGCAATGGCAAAATACAGAACAAAATGACAACCTCTACAAATTGAATGCAGCCTTCATGTCAACAGTATCTCCCTCTCTCACGTTCTTCTTTAACTTACTCTACAGTTTTCTCTCTGCTTATAGGTGTTTTTCTATAGGACTTGCTGTGAAATACCAAGGACATTGCTTGGGCCATGGAGAAGAAGCATTTTCCCTCTCTCCTAACTATACTTTTATTACCCTTTGAAGAGCCAAGGCATTTTGCTTTCACAAGAGTTCTCTTCAGGCTGTGCAATGCATGCTTGCTCCCTGAATATGACTCTGAGACCAAACAGATTCACGTAACCTCACGTGATGCCAGGCTGGGCAGATGCAGTACAGCAGGCAGCTGGGAACCTCCAGAAATTCAAAAGTCCCATGCAACCGGATGCCACTGGACTTAGCAGCCCCTGTATAACAGTGGCCAGTATCAGCTGCTGCTACGTCACCTGAGGGGCATGAAGGTTAACAGAGAAAGGAAAAGTAGCCAGGAGAAGGAAGCAGAGCGATACCTGCTAAACAGCCAAGCACGGTAGCTTCCCCACCATTAGCCAGTCACTGACTGGCTTTCTATGAATTAACAACGACATTGACCCAATGGGTATGGGAGCACAGGCCTGCAATGAAAATTATGAGCAGCATGACAAAGCACAGGCACAGCACACCAGACATTTTAAGGAACTCTGAAACCAGCAATGCAGTGGATCCGCAGTGTCAGAAACTCTTCTTGTGTGTAAGAGAAATATACAAAGGTCTGTACTGACATGTACAGAAAAAGGAGTGGAAAGGAGCTGAGGTGCTTACCCATGACGCTAGCATTCATCAAGGCAGTGAAGACAATGAGGATGTCAGGGAGCCCATCGCCGTTCACATCACACAGCTCCAGTGGGGATAACACACCACCTGCAACAGTCACAGAGAATCACTGCACTGTTGTCAAAAAGGCCACCCAGCCCATTTTCCATGCTGGAAGGGAAGGGCTGGCCCAGAAAAGAGGCTTATAGACAGTCAAGCCTCATAGAGTCTGCTAGGTAACCACCAATGCCAGGCAGCTCCCACCACGGCAAGATCTTTCATTGCAAGGAAAGGCAGAAATGTAGCATCTGGCTCACAGAAAGAAAAGGGAAAAGTGGAGGAAATAACAGAAAAAGATTTCTGCTTCCCACTTCACTTTCTGACGTGATGTGGAAGCAACATATCTTATGAGAGACTTGAGAGCCAAGGGCAGAAAGCAAGGAGGGAGAGACATATCTAGACCTGTAAGAAATTATTTCATAAACCATGGTTACTTTACTGCAGAAGTCAGAACGGGAGATACTTTAGAAACGTTACCTGTGGCCTGTATAGGATGAAAAAAGATCTCAAATGTTGATTTATGGATTCAAGCAGGGCAAGAAGACAAAAGAAATAAGGTTAGTTAAGCCAGTTAGAAGACACAAAGACTTCTATCCCTCTCCTCCTGAACACATCCACACAATTCAGCGTGGAGGTGCTGGTGAAACCCAGGGTGTAGAGAGGGAGGCACTATGCTTTAAAGTGGGCTGGGCCATCTCCATCTGGAATAGAGAGCACCATCCGGTCAAAAAGGCAGGATGGGAAAAGAGTCAAATTGCTTTTCAGTGTTGACAGAAAGAGGATTTTGTGGCACTGTTATCTAATGATGCCAGATTTCACAGGCCTCAGCTTGAAGAATGAGCAGGACACAGCCGCCTGTCTATTACCTCGGAGCATCTGCAGTGGTGAGGAAGGGCCTCTGCTCTGAGCTGACTCTCCCAGATAGGTCTCTCCCGCCGATGCCCAGCCTGGGAGCTGCCACCTCCCCCACGTCAGATGCTGTTCCTGGGGCTTTCTCACCTGCTCCTTGACCTAGGTTGCGGTCCCATGTGTTATGCAAGTCTCTAGGGGGACAGGGAATTAGAAATGCGCACACCAACACGAGAATCATGGAGATCACCACAGTGAGCAGAAAGATAGCTGTGCGCAGGTATGGCATGAGGGAGGAAGCAGCCTTCTGCTCCAAACTCCCAGACGTCTCTGCAGGATAACCCTCGGGTACGCTTTCTGACGTGTGCTGCTTTGTCATCCCAACCTCCACATCAGAGTCAGGGTCCTGCACCTCCTCGGGAGGGCTCTTTCCATTCTTGACCCCCCCATTCTTCTGGATGTTGAGTACCAGGTCATCTTCACTTTCATCACTGTCAGCCTGAGTGAGGGGATCATATTCCCCAAGGTCCGGGCTCTTTTTTCCTGAGGAAAGAGAGAGAGAGAGACAATAAAGCATAGGATCCTTGCTTTTGCAGGATCTCAGAGGATAAATGGCTGCAGTGATACAGAAAGAAGGACAGCACAGACTGCATTTTGCATAGATCCAAGTGAGAGGTGTAAGAGAAAAGACAGGGTCTGTCCATGTTTCAGAATAGCAGCTTGCAGCAGAAAAGATGCTGACAGTTTATTTCCCCAAGATAAAAGTGTATCTATATATAATATCTATATACATACACACACACACACACGTATGTGTATATATGTGGAATTCATGGCTGATTTAGCTCTAATACTTTCCTGTTCAGTAGTAAAACACACTGACATGAAGTCATGCTTAACACTCCAAGTACCTAAACCACAGCACTCTGTCTTGACTTCAGACCCTGAACTCCTTTAGCATTTGCCGATCTCTAATCCCAACACAGCCTCTATTCACTCACAGTCTGTGTTCTCTGAGAGGGCTTCCCTCTGCAACTCGTTTTTCCCCTGCTCCTCCTGCCTGGTCCAAGCAGCACTGCTCCCTTATGGTGTGCCACATCTGCTGCCCTGCTGCACAAGGGATATAAGGGATAGAGCACTACGTACAGTTTCTCTGCCGTGATGGTAAAAATGGGTATCGACTACCTGAAGACAAGGGTAAAGTGATTTTGCCCTTCAGGGCTGCCCCTCTAAGACACCAGCTTCTCGGCTCAGCATTCCAAGAGGGAGTGCTCCAGCCCCTGCAGTAGGAAACCACAGTGCTCCTGCCCTGTTCCAGTTCCTACCAGAGCCGACAGCTTGCACTTGGCTTTGCCAAGATAGAGAATTTAGTACTGATGCCTTCAGGTGATGATACAAGAAAGTAGCTTAGCTTTAGGTGTCTCACCCACAGATGCCTGGCACATGGACAACTTCACCCTCAAGACCTAGACGGCCGCAGGGACTGTGACGAGGGCAGGTGCGGAGCTCGGTCATACATACTGGCGTAAGGCCAGGGCCATCTGTTTATGGGGGCAGGCAAGATCACGCAGACTCACCACCCTGAGCTACGAGTGGAGGATCACGTCTCAGGGAGCTGCCCTGAGCCACCAGCCTGGGCATGGAGCCATGGCCACTGCCCTGGTGACCGCAGGGTCTCAGACTATTTCTCTCTCTCTCCTATTCCAAGGTGGGACTTTGCTATCCCAGATATCTGCCTCATTTCCCTTTGCCTAAAACTGACCCGAGACATGAGCTAACTTGTGCCTGAAGATGCCTGAAGTGATACATGCAAGGCATAAATAATAAGCAAAAATACGCAAGCTGTAACCACTCCCAGACACTAAGATGATGGGAAGGCTTTACAGAGTGGAAATTGAAAGGCTTTCACGATTATTCCTCCTGCATGAGATAATATGCCTTACTTCTGTTCTTCCTGTTAAAGGCAGACTCATAGTTACAGATGTACTATAGTATCTAGTTAGTGCAATGCACCTATTTTGCATCATCTAGAACCTATTTTGCGGCACGTGCATCTCATTTCTTTCTCATTTCTTGTCCTACAAAAGGACCTTCACTTCCCCTTCCTGTACCACTCATAAATGGTATTCAGTGTCAATTTTAGGATTTAAGAAAAACTGTCAATCCCACTAAAGGCCAAATGCCCCACACTAAGTGGAGCACCCAGGACAACCCAAACACACTGAACAGAGAGAAACAGAGATTTCTAACAAGATCCACTATCTAAATCAGACTCTTCCTTTTTGAACTAGGAGCTTCTACAAAATACTCACATTAAAAGATCTGGTGCACATACACACTCCAAAAAGCTGTTCCGTGCAGAGGCAGAGCACCCAGCTAAAAGATATCACATTCCTATGGGATGGTTCAGTGTATCCCTGTGAGATACTGCAGTTTCACATAGACCTGCCTTAAGCATGCGTTCAAAGTACGGGCTTTTCTCAGGAAGTCTTGATAAACTTGGCTTCATCCTGTGAGCAGCACAGAAGGCCATCGACCTCAATGACACACAGTTCTCTGCTCAGACTGCAGTGACAGCGCACTGCTGTCATTGTCACTGAATTTCCCAGATGTCTATACAGTAGGTCGTGCTGACAAGTTGCTGAAAGAGTACTCAGCGAAAACAAGAAATTCCAGAGAGGACTCGCTGGGAGGGTATTGGCAGCTTCTCACTACAGATCCAGATGTGCCAGTTCAAGCCAGGTCAGAGTGATATGAAAAGCAAATGCTGGCCCAAGCGTAAATGGAATTTAACATGGGAAGTCAAAGCCTGACATTTAGGTTAACCAGACTGCTCCTGGTTTTGGAAACTGGTGTGTTTGAGTAAAACAACTCAACACCATACTTAAACTCCAGATATACTGTGATTTGTTGAATTATTTTAATTCCAGACAGTCAACCCAGAAGACTGAAATCTGCTGTTCACCCTTGGGGCAACTAAAAGCATTGACAGGAATGAGCTTTATGTGGAACAGTTTCATTCTGGATCTCTAGGAGACAGAAAGGACCTCAAAACTATGGCTCACCCACTCCTTGAACTCGCAGGGATTGAGATGTCGACAACATCGACAGTGCTGTCAACCACGGATGACCCATAACAGGAACACCTTTCCTTCTGAGAACCACTGATCAGAGGCTAGAAAACAGCTACTACACAGTAATGAGTTACAGCTTTTGGTGATCTATGTAGGAAAGGATCTATTGAGTTATAGAAAAGCTATAAGGCACAGAGCTGCTCAGTCTTATTTCATGTCTAAGCCTGACCAGGAACCAGAAACTGGCTCTCTTTCTCCCTGTCTTTCCTCAAAGTTTAGTTGGCACTCTCACAAAGTACAGCCACTCAGTAAGGTCAGGCATAAAACCCCCTGCTGATTTCTTTTTTTTAAGCCAAAAGGAGGAAGACACTGCCCTTTAACAACGGCTGTTGGAGCACTCACCTAGCACATGGGAAACCCAATTGCATACCTAATCTCAGAGGATTCAAACACTCATCTCCCGCTGTTCGGGTAGAGCCCTAACAACTGATCTGTAGGTGTTTGGGAATGTGTCCAGAGGGCTGGTGAGGATGTGCTCAACCTGGCCTTCTGAGGCTGTTCTGCAGTGCAGAGAATACGTAACTCATGATTCACCTAGCTGGAGAGAGAGTAGAAGGAACATGACTCCTCCTCTGTGTTTTAGGTCACTTGCTGTGGGATGGATGGATACCACACATGGCTTCCACTAATGATTTTCCAACAGAGGAGTAAAAAAAGAGAGACACAAACAGCAGTAAAGAATGTTTGAAAACAAGGGGAGTCTCACACTATTTAGAGAACTATGATTTACTGAGAAGTGCTCCAGAAGTCAAACTCTTTCCTTTCTGGTCAACAACAAGGCTTAGGCTGGGAGAGGACACTTTGTCCATCAAGAGAATGCTAAAACTGCCTCTGTTGCAACTGATCAGCTGTGAGAAAATCCAATACTCTCGTGCAGTTTTCAGCTTTCCATTGTAGAAGTAGAAATACCAAGACTTCAGACAGCCTCTTGGTCAAACCCTCACCCTATCTCCTGCAATGATAATCACTGCATAATCTTCATGATAAATTAGTCCCTGTGCGAAAGAAAACAGACTCCAGATCTACCTTGAGCAGTTCTGTGGCCTTGTGTATGTAATAGAACTGTATAACTCACATCTTTTTATCTGTCTTTTGCACAGCATCTTTAAGTGCAGATAAACCTTGCATCCACTTTACAAGGATGGACTTCGTACCAGCAAAGTCGGTTTCCCTGCTGCTCTGCGTTCTTTCCTACAGGTATAGTAAATAAACTGCTTCTGTTCTGACCTGCTTTTAACTGTATTCCGTTTATTCCACAGCACCAGTGATAAAGCGGTGGTTCCCAGTCAGAGGCCTGTGGTTACAATCAATCTGAGGAACTGTTGCTTGTGGTCTGTGGCTAAGCTACTGGTCATGTTGCCCTGGATGGTTTTTTTCAGCCACTGGAAGAAAAAGCAAATACTGAAGAGGGAGGCAGAAGAGAGAGAAAATGTCCCAAACTTACCAACTTTCAAGGGCAGTTGGACTCTAAACTGCACTTCATGACTTTGAAAATACCCTGTGCATTTGCCTAACAATACTTTTTATAGAAGCAGCTCTTGCAACTACTGCAGTAGAAGAATATGAGCTCTCAAAGAAGAAAAGATGAAACATGTGATCATGATTCGGAACGCAGGCATCTGTGAGGTGATCTGTGTCGGAATCAGGTCTCACTCATAATGAAATACTCATTTCTAGCGCTGATGGTTGGAAGATATTAACTGTAATCTTTTTTCTGGTTTTGACTTACTGAAAAGGCTTTTCTTTGCACTTAATTTGGAGTGAAAATAGCAGATCTTGGACTTTAGACAAGTACAAGTCTCTGCGTTATTCCAATGAAGACATAATGGTTCCAGTATCATTTGTACTCACTTCATGTTCTGTTTATTTTTCTGTTTTTTCCCAGCTGGCAGTTGGCAGGCACCAGTCACTGGGTACTGCAGACATATCTCTAAGTCCATGGGGAGATAAGTTGCTACATATTGATGTAATTAATTTAATGAGATGCAGCAGTAAAACACAGCTATAGCAACAGGCTTTCTGGTTTCTCATTGCTGTTGAAAGCTCCATTTTTCTAGAATTAACCACACAAACAAGGTAGAATATAGGCAATTTAACCTAAGGGCTGATGCAAGAACTGCTTTCTTAACTACAGTTACAAGGCCTGCGTTCTTTTCCAAATCAGTGCCTCCCAACAGCATATATCAAACAGATCATGCTGGTTTCAGAGGTCCCGGAAGAGATCTGTACCTGTTACTGTACAGTTTCCCAGTGGTCACACCCCAACATATGTACTTATACCCAATAGTTCACACTGTTCCTAAATAAGCTTAATGTAAAAATGTTTTCCTTCCCGCTTAGACAAACATACATATAACCAGGAAGAAATTGATTTGTAAACAAGACTTCTTTAAATGAGATGTAACAGGTACTACATAACATAAAAAATAATGACTCCTGCTATGGGTTACTAAAAGCTTGCGGGAAGGGCCCTGAAGACATTACTGTGACCTTCATGGACTGATGGAGGAAGAAAGTACAACCTGCCCACTGAGTGCAGCTTCACAGACTGGGGCACTGTAGGACCACAGTGGTGTGGGACCAGTTAAGCAACCTGGACATCCATAAATCCATGGGTCCTGATGGGATGTACCCGCGGGTGCTGAGGGAGCTGGCGGATGTCATTGCCAGACCACTCACCATCATCTTTGCTAAATCGTGGGGAACGGGAGAGGTGCCTGAGGACTGGACGAAAGCAAACGTCACTCCGGTCTTCAAAAAGGGCAAGAACGAAGACCCAGGTAACTATAGACTGGTCAGCCTCACCTCCATCCCTGGAAAGATAACGGAACAACTTATCCTTGGTGCTGTCTCTAGGCATATCAAGGATAAGAGGGTCATTAGGGGCAGTCAACATGGCTTCACTAAGGGAAAGTCGTGCTTGACAAACCTGATAGCCTTTTATGAGGACATCAACCAGTGGGTGGATGATGGTAGAGCAGTGGATGTGGTCTGTCTTGACTTCAGTAAAGCATTTGACACAGTCTCCCACGACATCCTCACAGCTAAACTGAGGAAGTGTGGTCTGGATGATCGGGTAGTGAGGTGGATTGTGAACTGGCTGAAGGACAGAAGCCAGAGAGTAGTGGTCAATGGGACAGAGTCCAGTCGGAGGCCTGTATCCAGTGGAGTCCCTCAAGGGTTGGTACTGGGACCTGTATTGTTCAACATATTCATTGACGACTTGAATGAGGGAATAGAGTGCATGGTCAGCAAGTTTGCTGATGACACTAAACTAGGAGTGTGTGTCTGTGCTGTGCTGCCATTCAGAGAGACCTGGACAGGCTGGAGAGGTGGGCGGGGAGAAATTTAATGAAATACAACAAGGGCAAGTGTAGAGTCTTGCATCTGGGTAAGAACAACCTCATGTACCAGTACAAGTTGGGGACTGAACTGTTGGGGAACAGCACAGGGGAAAGGATCTGGGGGTCCTGGTGGACAGCAGGATGACCATGAGCCAGCAATGTG